TTGCTGAGATAGTGCTATCCTTAAAATTTTGTCAAGGGATCAACTTGACTACAATACCGTTTAATTCCCTCAAGTACTTTCTGGCCAGCCTACTGTCATGCCACTGACTGGTCTGATCACCATAACATTTCGTTGATAACTGCTCTGTGGTAACGCCCATTCTGTATCGCTCGTCTTCTCCTCATCACACGCAAGTACTCTATCTTAATTTATTTCATCCTCTCTCAAGGCTTTGTGACTCCTTTTCTCTCACACATTTTCCCTCCCCAGTGGCATAGTTACAGAAGGGCTGAGGGCGGGGGGCAGTCTGGCCCAGATATCATTTTTGGGGTGACACTAATAAGAAAATTTTATAGTTGGAATTATATATTATTTTTAGCAATTTATAGCAATTATTTATTTAAAAATTTTATTACAATTCTGAACACAGTTGTTTAATACAGTAAAACATGCTCAATCGGGAATCTCAAGGGACTAGAATATTTTTCTGCATTAGACAAGATTCCGCATTATGCAAGGTAATACAGGAACATTAATATTTTGCAGGACCAATCTGTCTAATGTTCACATTAGACAGATTTCCGCATTATACGCGTTCCACATTGAGCAAGTTTTTCTGTGTATTAAAAATAAATGTCATGTGCAAAAATTACTTTTATTTTTATTAAATATAATATATAAACTATTCAATAAAAGATACTGTATTTTCATATTTGCCCTGGGTAACACTAACTGAAGGTACATCACTGTACCTCCTTCTCACTACCATTCTCTTAGATTCTTTCTTTCTCTCTTTCTCCCTCTCTAGCCCTCTACTATTTCCTTTCTCTATTCCTTTCTTTTCTCCTCTGCTTGCCTCCTCTTTTCCTCTTCCTTTCCCCCTTCCCCTCCCGTAACGTTATTCTTTCATTCTTTTCTTTTTCCTCCATGCCCTCCCTACCTCTCCCTGAATGATTTCGGTTCCTGCTCGCCGCCTTCTAGACGCCCGCCGAGCACTGCACCGCGCTGCACTTAACCGCGAAGCACATGTATAAATGAAGCATAAATGTAGCTTCACTATGGGTACGTTTTGTTGATCTCACCTTCTACTAGTAGTGGAGGAGGTAGAGAAGGAGGTATGTTCCTATTTGGTTAGCAATAAAAAATATGCAGTTCGTTTATCGATGCAAATAAGTTTTCTATAACTCGGGAGCACAAATGTATAATTTTCAGAAGTTGCTAACTTCGCTTTTTATTCTTTTATTCATCATTCAACTATTTATAGTTAAAATGGAAAGAGATTCTGGAGTTCAAGAAAACGTGCGCAGATGGTACGTCTTCCTCATACGTCACATACAGACTTTTTTACTGTTTTTGTACTAAATAAATCTTTTTTTATTAATTGATGATTCCAGCAGCTTTCACTGTCAAGGTCATTAACGTCAAAGTCATAAGTGTAGTGCATGTTTTCCCCCAGAAGGTGACGGTGATTTTCCCCTGCTGGATGATGAGATCCGCTGCCAACCTACCGTCAGCTAGCAGGGTTCCCTAAGCACGTGCGGGACACCACCCTAGCCGGGTCAAGCTTTAAGCTCCCGTCCGGTCTCCCGAAATGTATGGTAAGTATAGTGCATATAATTGTAAGTGTGTAAGGGGTGAGGATAGGCCGAGAAAGAGGAACTGGCGGTCCGTGGCCAGTTTGTTAGGGGTATGTTCCGGCATGCCCCCGGTTTTGATCGGTGAAAACACGGAAACCTACCGATCAGAGTAGCCGGCCGCTAAAATTCTCCCCCAAACATAGACTGACGTCGACTTAGATATCTAACTAGTGTCGAAACCCCAGCCACCGTCGGGACTCCAACCTAGGACCTCCCGGTCAGAGGCACTGCAGTGACATCAGGTGATGCCCTGAGACACCTCTTCCGGTCTCAGTAAATCCAATTGCACTTACCGGCGAGAGGAAGTCTGCAGTGTCGTAGTAGTTGTAGCGCACGTAGGCGAAGACGCGGGGCCCCACGAGGCGCGGCGCGCGCGCGGCCAGGCGCTTGGCTTCAGCGACGCGGGCGCGCACGAAGGCCTGGCGATCGCCAGGGCGCGGCGTCTGCGAGCCCAGGTACACGGACGGGAAGAGGGCGCCGCTCGCGTCGAACAGCCACTGCAGCCTGCACAGCCATCGCAATAGCCACGCTTCTTGGCGGTCCACATTCAGGCTCGACTCCTTGGTCATATACTCCGATTTAAACATAGCTGTACTTCAAGGTCACAAGCTGAAAGGAGTTGTTATCGAATCGAATCGAGAGCTCGAATACCAAAAATGTAATTCCTAATGAAGCTCACGATTGGATGACATGTTCCCTTCTCCTTGCAGCTCGTGACCTTTATGTGAAGATAAATTTAAATCGAAGTATAACGAACTGTTCACTTCGGGGAGGACATGGCGAACGACAGCATGCAACCGCGAGCCAAATGATGTATTTATAACCTCAAACTTTGAAAACGAATTGATGCTTCGCTACGTGTGTCCAATTTTATGACGAGGCTCCACTTCGGCCTACGCGATTAACTTAAAATATATTTTAGTCTAACAAATATCCAGTGTATTTAACATCAAAATATCTTCTTAATAAATTTAAACGTTCCATTTTCATTTGAACTACGAAGCCGAATGTCCTCGTTCCCATCACTCGTTTTCACTTTCGTTTATCGATCTCGCGACGTCTAACTCCTTGGCCGTACTATCGACACTAACGGCGTGACAGTTTACAGGATTTCCCCCCAAAATGGATGTTAACCAATCAAACTAGTCGAACTCAAGATCTTGCGAATTTAAAACCTACCGTTTAATTTTTAGGAGTACTTTACACGAAGCCCCTAGGACATTTTGAAAATTTTCTAAAAAATCGCTCCAATTCTTTTCTTTTGGTTGATTGATTAATTATTTCGTTTTGGCGTGTAAAATGCTATGAGATTTAGTCCCGTGAGTGTAGTGCTCGATTTTATTCCAGGAGGTGGCGATGTTCTTCCCCCGCTGGCTGGCGAGATCCAGTGCCGAACTACGCATTGCGGGGTTTTCCTCATACTGGTATTTCCCACCGGTGGGGCAAGCTCTGAGCTCCCAATATGTGTGGTAGTGTAGTGCATATAAATGTGTGTGTGTGTGTGTGTGTGTGTGTGAGAGAGAGAGAGAGAGAGAGAGGGGTTGGGAGGGATGAGCGTAGAACAAGGAAGAGGAAGGAAAGATCGCGGTCCGTGTCACGATTGTTAGGGTACTACTCCGGTATTCGTCTGTTGTTGATCGGAGAAATCATGAAAAGCTACCAATCAGAGCAGCCGGCCGTTAGAATTCTCCTCCAGACAGCGCAGCGGCTGAATTCGACCTAGCTATCCGGCTAAGTAGTGTCAAAAATCTAGCCACCGTCGGGACTCGAACCCTAGTCTTCCCGTTTTTCTTTTGAATTTTTTTATAGATTAGAACAAAGTGCGCTTTTAAGGATCCAATTTTCATCACAATATCTGAAATTTGAAAAATTGCAAATGTTCAACTTTTTTCGAACCTGTCCACCTTGAAATTTGAAGCTGGGAATTTCTTTTGGATGAAATATTTTTCTCAAAGATCTTTAAATCTACAGTGTTTTTAAAATATTAATGGTCATGGATCGATTTTCACTGAAATCGTGATGTTTTTTCACAAATACACAAACATAATTTTCTAAAAATCCTTGATTTTTTTTCTAGAATACTCAATTATGTAGCCGCCTAAATATCATTTTTAAACATCTTTGAACTCAAAAAAATTAAATATTGGTATTATTGTAAACACGCTTTTGGATCCTTGAATTCATGTAATTACGCAAACTTAAAATTTTGAATCAGCCTCCAACTGATATGAATATTTTATATACTATCTATTTATTAGGAGAGTTAATTCCTGTTTAAGAAACTAAAATTGAAAGAATGAACTAAAGAACCATAGCATCAGTTAGGCAGCAAATTATCTCATTAAATTCGGTTTTAATTCAACATTTTCCTAAAAAATAAGAAATTCTATCGATGTTCACTTAAATGTCTCAAATATTTGATATAAGCTTTTTAGCCTGTGGTTCACTTCAGTGCCGTTTGATAATGACATTTCTCTTTTGTTCTTTATTAAATGTATAATTGCTTCGAGATTCAATATAGTGTAATTTTGAGAGAACTGTTTTAACAATGTATTAATGTAATCGCAAAAAAAATTTTAATACACTCGTGTTTGTGAAAATTGCAACACCTAGAAGGAATAGCCGAAATCACTTAAAAATATGCGGATGCGTAGATCAGTGCACACATAAGAAATGATTAAATTTGCATACCGATGGCGTCCTTTCTGTGACAAGTCAGGTAAATGTTACGCCACATTCAGTGGGTGTAGAGCTGTCAAACGACGTGGAAAGGCGCAAGTAAGTGCCGGCATGCCTCGTCGACGCTAAAGGAAGCAATATCAGCATCTGAGTGAGTTTGAACGAAGCAGAATGATCGGTTCCAAATTACTTGTCTTGGATTCTTTGATTAGCACACTTCAAAATAAGGAAATCATAAATGAGAAACCTGGAAATGGATTACAGTAATCGGGAACCTTACAGGGACACAGTTGTACTTTTCCGGTAAGGGACACCCAACTCTCTAGGTAGGAAGATCCCTGACGTTCCTCTCGTCAATTCGCATTCTTCCAACGAACACAAATTCATGGGATGCGGATATATGTTATTGACTAATAAGACCGAGGTGCTGATTCGGTATAAACTGTACACGTTTTGACCACCCAGGCCGACCGAAATCGCCTTAATGGCAATAAAAACCTTTATATCTTTAAATGCAACAATAGACTGGCGAATTAGAAATGAAGAAACCTTCAGTACGAGGAAGGCGAAGGAATGTCGTCATCCAAGCACGTGGGGCCTGGGCGCGTAAATTAATATAAATTGTGCGCGGACTGTCAATCTGATGACGCCATTGCTCGAAAAATTAAGAGGTGACGAACTGACGCATGCGGGGATTCCGCTGTCGCGGGCGGTGAGTGGCAGCTGCAAGCCCACGCCTCCCGCGAATTCCGCGAGCAGGGAGGGCGGAGAGAGGGTCAGAGGTCGGTGCCGGCCAGACGTTACGACGCCAATGCCGCCGCCGCCACCGCCGCCGTTGCTGTCACCGACGCTGTCACCGACACAGCCTTGCCCGTTGCTGCCGCCAACCTCGTCCTCGTGTCGCCGTAGGATGCGACGAAACCTGAAACGCTACGCATATATTTTTATCTTTTTTTATTTTCCTGTATGTTTTTCTCGCATTTTCTCTTTTGCTTGACTATTTTTTCTACTTTTTTTTGTACCTACTTTTTACTGTTTGTTATTATGTGAACTTTCTCTATTCAACGATAGCATGTAGTCCAGACTTAATTTTGTTGTACATTTTAGATTTATTATTAGCAAATGTTTTCGTTTATCATTTTCATCTTTTCTTCTTTGTCATTTTCTACTTCTTGTCTTAATTTTATTCTGTAGAAGAAGGTTTCAGCGAGATTATTATTTTGTGTTTCTCATGACTTTCTTTACATGTCTGAACAAATTTATAACTATTTCTTAGAATTTGAATTCACATTGAAAATATAAAGAACATCGTGTCCAGTTCAAATATAACTCGTTGATGAGGTTACATTATAAAATTGTATGGCGTTGTCTGGTAAATCACTATTGTCGTATTATGTGCCTTTAAGTTTGAATTTTTAAGATTCAAAACGATCATGATCAAACTAATCAATAAGGCAAAAAACAAATTAATTCAGGTGAGTCTTATTCTTCTAATTGGGGTGAAGACTAGTAGTGTGATAATAGTACACACTTTCCCGCATAATTTATAAATTTCTAACTTTCGAAAATTTAGAGTTCAAGGAAAACGAGACATGCACTTTGACATTGTAGTTGTTGGAAGACGCTGAAAAACATTTTGAAGTTTTGCAATTTTCTAAAAATCAGGGATTTCAAAGAAAATGAGACCTACACCATTCTCTTAAGCGTTCTATTCGCTATGTTTAATAAAAAATTTAGAGCCATTTTTGAGAAAATTTTGAAAATATTTTTAAGGCTTCATTTAAAGTACTCTCAAAAATCAAAATATCCGTTTCAAACTCGCAAAGCGTCGAGTTCTTTCACATCGATCGGGAAATATCAGTTTTTTAGAAAATCGGCTGAACGGTTTAGGCATTAGCGTTGATCACAGACGAAAGGATGGTACGAACAATAGATTTTTCGGTGTCCAGGATCTCAATGCGTGTATTCTGATTACGCAACGTGTTAGAGAAAGTAATTCACTATATGTAGGAACAAGATTTATGCATTTTTTCGTTACCAGGGCTTGGCAATACTAGTTTTCTGTCAAAAAATCGCTATTTTCCGCTGCATGATTACAACTCTGTCTCCTCTAAGGAAGGAAGGGCGAGAAAGTAAAACAAACGTGTTCAGCAAACCGCTTCAAAATTTTTCTTCCAGTGGTTTTCAACGGATAGAACAAAGAACGCATAAAAGAATTCACAGGTTTTGTTTTCGCTGAGCTCTGAATTTTCGAATATTGCAAGAGGTAGAAATAAAGCAAGAAAATTTGTGCTGTTGTAGTACTATTCTTAAGAAAAGAACTCTTCTGACCGCTGTAGGGTATTTCAGAAAAATTTAAGTTTCCGATTAAACTTAAACATTCCATTATTCTTTAAACGTTCTGCGAACCTACACGGACTTTTTTGTTATTGTGTGTACAATGATTCTTACTGTAGATTTGAGTCTGCAAAATAACTAGTTTTCAAACGTAAAATTCTATTCCCGAGTATCTTATTTTACATGTATAGCTGTCAAAATTTACACACTGATTGAATTGATTGTTACTGATTGCGGGCGCGCAAACTGCTGCGATCATTAGTTCCAATTGCACGTTCTTCATCGGAAGGTGGGGGTGATGTTCCCCTGCTGGATGGTGTCATCTGACGGCGACCTACACAGCGGCTAGCGGGGTTGTCCCCCCGCAGGTATCTCCCACCAGCGGGGCTCCGCCATAGCCGGGACAAGCTCTAAGCTTTTGGTGTGGACTTCCGACACGTGTGGAAGTACAGAGCGTGAAATTAGCTTCCTATTTAAGAGATACAAATTTGGAAGGGAGATACCTTTGCTGGTATGTTTCATGGAAGGGGATTCGCCCTTATCACCGATCAGAGCAGTCGGTCTTTACAATTTTCATCCCGGCATAGGTGTCGTCCGACCCGTAGCATAGAAAATCTGCCACCGTCCGGGCTCGACACGAATGCTCCCAGACGTCGAACCTTTAGTTGCGGACTCGTGACTACGTACTTACGCCAAAGCTGTTGGTGCATGTTTCTTCCAGGGAAAGAGATCTCGTTAACAGAGTGCAGTGTCCCTTTCCTTCAGTGATGCTTTGCCAAGCGGCGCGTTTCATCTGCTGCAGAGTTGGCCTTTTAAACGCGCACGCGTCGTCTTCATCAAACTACGTACTCTCGTGGAACGTGGTGTCAAAGCTCTCTGCAGAATTTCTTACGCAGTTTCCTCGTGTTTGTGCCGGCCGTCTGCCGGACTCATGACTCTCCTTGTCCTTCCCATGATAAAAGAGCTTTACAGACGAAGTTTTTATATGATAGTGGCAATAGCGTGGCTGAAAATTGTAACAATTGACTGTTGTTTTGATCAGTTCAGTTTATTGTCCATTCCTGATAACTAACTGTAATAGATTCTGTTTTTCTGTACTTAACAATTACTATTTGTGGATAATTTGAAGAAAAATAGGGAATTATTTACATTTAATTTTTGAAATTGAAATTGAGTTTGTCAAGTATTGCAGTACTTTCTGAATTTCAATTAGATTTAAACCAATAGTATTCAAGATGAATGTTTAATTCGAATTCGTAAAATTTCAAGTCCACATTTTAAAATATATTTAAAAGAAAATAACTATGCTTTTTAAATAAGTTTCAGATGAATATTTAACACTGGGATATCCAGTTTTTCTTTTTGGACTATCATTGCGCAAGTTTTGGAAACACTGTTTTGTTTTTCATGTAAGTCTGGAACAGGCGTAATGTTCCTGTATCTGGTTTCGCGTAGTATTTATACACATCATCAAGTGTGAACAAAAAAATAATACATTTACGTCTGTTAATAAAAACGAATTTTGATTATATTGTTTAGAATTAAAATATTAAAAAAATAAAATACACAAAAATTAGAGATGAAATTATGGAATGCAATAAGTCTAAATAAAAAATTACACAATAGAGAGCTCGACCAATGGTTTGTTAAATCATTTAAACATATATATCATGCCTAATAATGTTCGTATAAAAAAATTTCATACTTTCATCTCTGATTACTGAGTACTTTTATTACGTATTTATTTAGTAAAAAAAAACAACACACAGTAAAAACTGTATGTGATGTATGGGAGTATCTGCTCACGTTTTCTTGAGTTCCAAAATCCCTTTCCCTCATTTTAACTGTAAATTGTTGAAAAGTGAGTAAACGCTTAAAATAAATAAATAAAAATAAATTTTAATAACTCTCGAGATTAGCAATAGTTGAAAAAAATAGACATTTTCGTTTCCCAGTTATAGAAAACTTATTTGCATCGGTAAACGAATTGCAAATATTATTTTTCTGCATTGATAGCAAAATATTAACTCGCCCTTACCTCTACTCCTACTATTACAAGCAAAAGGAGAGTTCAACAAAACGTGCGCATGTTTAATAACGTGTTAACTAACGTACATGTATTGTATGTGGATTTCGGATAGTGAGCTTCTGATACTGACACTTGATGAACGTGATTTTTACAGCGTGTGTTGTAATTATAAATACCAGTATTGCATAAAAATATGTTCCCACCGTTAAGTAAGTCACTTTTGACAAATATTACAGATTCGTAAATATATAGGCAAGGTAGTTTAAGTTAAATTAAGTTTGAACGCACTCAGTGAACACCGTTCAATAAATTACATGTACCAGTTTAAAAATGGTATGTTTGGAATGGTGTGTTTAATCATAATATATTTCATACGTACCATTTGACTATACCTAAACAGTTGCTCTTACTCAAGGTATTACTGTTCTCTTAAGTTTCCATATTTTGGTGGGTGGACTTCTATTTACATTACATCACTGCCTTCTACATTCTTACATCCAAATTTGTGCCTGTAAGTACGAGTAGGAAGCAGTGGGTCACAGTGAACAACGAAACTAACAAATAACGCTGTAATAACTGTGTGAAGGGAAATATCAATTAATTAATAAATGAATTATGATAATAACAACAAGCATTGATAAAGTTGAGATATAATTGATAGGAAGAGTGCTTTGAAAACTACCGTACTAAACGTTACTTCCTTCGGTCGTAGCTGATTCCTACTGTGCTTACAAGTATGCATACGATACGAGTGTATAGAAGGCTACGATCTGAGGTAAACAATAGAAGTTCTTGTTCTCCCGTCGGAAAAAATGTAATACTTCACTTGATAAGTCTCTGCATAAAGTAATTGAGGTTCCTGCGGCTGTAGGCGTAGAATTGAGTTGAACATACGGAAAGAGAGATTACGCGCGGTTCGTGACCTGCTGTTAGAGTGGTGTTCTGTTGTCCGGCCGGGCTCCACTGAAGGAACAACTGAGAAAACTTGTCTCATCGCGGAAATTCAAAAGTAAGGTAAGAACTTTCATTGACACATTATTCTGTAGGCCTATCTGCTGTGAAAAAAAGATTTTTGCACATTTAATTCATCTCTATCACAAAATGATAGACTCGAAATAATATTTTACATATACTTTTGAAGGCGTTTGATTTGTGTCCATTAGTTGAAACGATAAATTTATTCAAAGGCAATATGAAGGGGTGAAACCAGAACACCATTAGTGACTTTTATAAATTCTAAGAAAAACATGTTTATTTTACACTACATTTCACTTGCAATAATTCCATGGTTTTAATAAAACAATTAAAATGCTTTGGTTTTAATGATGAAACAAAGCTCCACGATTTTTAGTAATCTTGAATTAAATAGTTTTCTCAGAATTTATAAAATGTCACTTATATCGTTCTGGTTTTCACCCATTCATATTATCTCCAAGTTTTTTGGTCTGATTTATCATGAAGACATCGTGAGTATATCATAAGAATTTAGAACGCAATCTCACTGTAACCTCCAATTTCATGGAAAATATGTTTTATAAAAAACTATTGGGTCTGCA